ATTAAAAAGCCAGGTATTAAGTCAGGACCCATAGTCATATTATTTTTTATACGACTAATTGCCTTAAGAACGTCCACTTCTGAGATATTTTTAACCGAGATTGTGTTTAAATTCTCCTCTAAGCATATGTCGTGGTTACTTATAGGTTTAGAGTAAGATTCTGAGAAATAATCGGAAAACGAGTTAACAATGTCGGCAGGTCTATTTAAATCTTTTCCCCTACAATTCATTTTGGATGGAATTAAATTATTTTCTTTTTTCGAATTTATGTAGGACTAGAAGCCTTTGGGATTATTTTTTAAATTTAATTCTATATTCCGGGTGTAGTTTTTGTACGCAATCTGATTAGCTGACTTAAAGTTTGTTCTGAGTACTTTAAATTTATTATAATTTATGTTGGTTTTTTGATTTCTCCAGATTTTGTAAGCTTTGTCCTTTTGTTTAAGTAGTTGTATTAAGTGTTTGTCGTACCATAAAGGAAAATTTTTGCTTTTGGATACCTTCAGTGGAACATTATCATCAACTATCTTGTTAATACGCAAGTAAAATAGATTTAACATTTCATTTACGCTGTTGCTTTGATTTAAAAAAGACCAATCAACTTGTAATAAATTGCTATACATTTTTGAAAAGTTTGCACGTTTATAATTACGTTGTTTTTTCTGAATAACAGGTATAGATGTAGGATTTTGCAGGTTATTTTCAATATGTATTAAAAGTGGAGGATGATGATTATCAACAGGTACAAGGTATTCATCTGCTTCAGAAACTATACAATCAATGTTTGCAAAAACTAGATCGAGAATACGATTATTACTATTTAATACAGAATTAAATTGTTTTAGTTTAAAAAAGTTTATAAAACTATGCAAACATGTAACTTTACTTGTTAACTGCTGAGCAGCATACTCCGGGATATTGAAATCGCCAATAACAAGCAGATTTTTATCATAAATTTCGTAGACTGATTCTATAGAGTCAAACAATAATTGATATTCTAGAACTGTGCATTGTGGCGGTATATATAAAATAATTAAATAAGTAAAAGAATAATTTAATTTAATTTTAACCATTAAGATATCAATAAGTCTAATATTACAGAATGTATCACAAATGGAATTAATATTAATTTCATATGCTTCATACCTTGTACTAATTGCTAATAGAATACCCCCTCCCCTACTGTAATTAGTGGCAAGCAAATCACGATCTTTACGAAAAACCTTATAATCAGAATTAAACATTTCAGTATTAAAAGTCCCGTCCTTTAACCATGTTTCTGTAAACGCAATTAAACCGAGTTGATTCGCGTACGAAGAGGAATTCACATATAAATCATTTAGCTTACCATTCAAGCCACGACTGTTTTGAAGATAACATATTAGAGTGGAGGGAGAAGATATAGACTTGCGCATAATTGACTCTGCACTAATTAGAGGTTCGGAAAAATTTAATTGCTACTTTATATTTAGTATGTCACATTTAAACTTGTGGAGAGTATCAATATAGACCGGACAACTATGAGACCATGCTTCGTGTTTTGTGTCAACTTTTTTGTTTGAATTCTTATTAAAATTTATGCAAAAACAGTTAGATTCGCAATCGGTTAATTTGTGACTCAGAACATTTGGGACAGATATCACATGTACTATTGCAGCTCTTGGATATATGATTAAAACCGCAACATTTGTAGCAACGCCGAAGCTCAATACCATCATAAACCTTACATAAGTCATACCCTACAAACAAATTACCCTGATTGATCATTTTATTGTAAGTACCAATATCAACTTGAAATATGGCTTGATAAATATTATTGTTTTTTCGAGTCGAACTAATCGAGATAAACTTACAGTTAGATGAATTACTTATTAGATTCTTATTTTGAGCAAATAATAGATCACATAGTTCTACTTCATGAAGTTTTTCAGTTAAGCCGACAACTTTGATACGGGGATTTAGAGTAGCAACTTCCTTAATTTCATAATTTTCTGATAGATTCGATGTAGCAAGTTCTTTAAATTTATTAGAATCCACCTCGTCCTTACAGCATACTACAACGGCACCTCTACTTGCATTTTTTGTTTGGCACAGGGTTATATTAGATTCTACAGGATTAATTTTCTTCAACATTTCATTTTTCGTTACTTTGCTCTCTTGCTGTACCTTGGGTTTTATTATAAAGGTAGATTTTGCAACGTCGGCAAAAGTAACAGTTTCGGTTAAAGCTTTTTTATCATTATTTTTTAAGCCTCCCAGATTGATTTCGTTTTTAAGAAGATCAATTAATAAAGTTTGCTCACTTATTCTGCCTTCCATTTGCTTGATTAGTTGAGTTTGTAGTCCATTTTCGGTTTTTAATTTACTAATTTCCAATATTTTTGTGTTTGCATCACCTTCACTAATCAATGTTTTCACTTTGGTCTGTACAATTGGTAAACAGCCTCCACAAAACCATTTAGAACTTTCATTTTCTTTAAAAAGTTTAAAAAACTCTTCCTTGACTTTAGCACAATTCAAATGAAACGTTTTATCACATAGATCACAGTTAATACGCTTAGAATTTCGCGAAAAACTCGACGAACAGAGAATGCACGTCTCACCGTCCCACTGTGGGCCCAATGTCCAAACTAGGTTGCATTGATTAAATTTTTTTTCTATTTACTTAAAACTTTAAAAATAATTAAACTTTGAGACTAACCAATGCTGGTAATTAATTATATAATTTATTTTTTCATTTTCCAGTGTTGCCACATTGGTATTTTTGGAAATTAATTTATAAAATTCAACTAGTGTAACAAACCATGCCAACGTTATCTACGGATCAAAATAAGTCAATTTAACTCAAATTACCTATATACTAAGTTGCTTAGTTTAGTCGTTAGAGGCCTTTAAAGTTTAAAAAAATAACTATTTTTTTAAATATCTTAAAAACGAATTAATGAATTTTGAATATTTTTCGAATGTAACTTTTAACTGCCAATTAACGTCGTTTGGTGCTACACTCAGTTATCTTTAAAAATTAGAATAATCAGAAAAGCCAGGTTAGGTACTAATTTTCGTTTGTATTTTTTTTACTGTTGCTCACTTTGTTTAAAAACTTTTTGTCTCTTGTAAAAGTTGGATGAGCGGTTTTTGCCAGAAAAAAATTATTTTGTAATGTCTGCATACATACTATCGATATATCGCGATAGTTACTATGTTTTATCCCGAAAATTATTGAACATATAAATCTAGAGATTCCTTTTCTGAAAATAGTTCAATTTGACTCAACGCAGTTGCTTCGTGTAGCAGATAAAAAGTGAAATACAGAGTGTTGGTAATAGGTAAATGGTGTATAAAGAGGAGGGTTTTCGCATATTTTTTCGGTCACTTCCGGTTTCACCGGAAATGGGTCCAGGTTCAAAAAATTAAATAGAAACCCCTGTATAAATTTTCATTCTCGGATTCTTAACATAATTCTGGACATAAATGTGATTTTTTAATGCTTTTTGAGCAATTTTTAACAATGCATCTAGCCTAGATGATCTAGGCCACCTTGATGTAATATAAAAAGAATATGTAGGCGTAAACACTTTTAACAAATATTAAACGCCATGTAAGTATATAATTTGCTCATTGCCTTAGCAATACATGCGATAAACAACTTAAAGATGCATATTAATTGGTAATATTTTCTTTTCTCAGAGGTTTACATTTTTGACTGGGATAAGTTTCGCGATTTTTTGCGATTTTTTTGGTTAACAGATTTTAGTAGTCTACATCTTTGTCTAATAAAAAATATATATTTTGGCTTGGCATTCGTTGGCCTTCCTATTTTTTTACTCTGCAAAACATAAAAAATTAAATATTCATGTTAATTACCTTATCAGTTCTTGCCAAAAGCAAAAAAAAACACGAATTTTCTATAATTTTATGTATCCAACACAACTAATTGACAGGTCTAATGTCAGTTATGAAATGTTTAATATGACTTTTGCTTTTCACGGCCCTCTAAGCTATAAAAAAAATCGCAAAAATCGTAGTTTTAATTAAAACGATTGCATTAAAAATAGACTTTCTTTTAAAGATCTGACATTGGGCATTTATAAAAAAGTGTTCGTAGAGTATTTTCAAAAAGCAATTATGTTTTTACAAGTTTGAATATGTTTTTAATAAAACAATAGTGGCAAATTATACATTTTCAATAATGACTTATTGCAACCTAGTTTGGGCATAGGGCCCACAGTGCGTCCGCCATACTTTCAATTGTGTTAAATAAGTTACCAAAAATTACGTGCTGTTGTAAAATTAATTGAATAAACTTTAATATATATTCCTTAACAAAACTATTTGAGTTCAGTACCTAAAATGCGTTGCGTTCAACAACCCGAAAAACTAGCTATAAATAATTTAGATTTATTTGAAACCAGTTCTGATGCTAGTAAACATGGTAATTTACTACCAATTTCCTTTAGAGCAATTTTTTGTGGTCCTAGTGGGTGTGGTAAAACAAATGCTTTATTAAGTTTAATATTTAATCCTAATGTAGCTAAATTTGAATTTGGTAATTATAAAAGACTTCCGTTTAAACAATGGACGTTATCGAAAGGGGTTTGATAAATATATAAATATGTAAAACAACTATATTTAGTATCATTAGTAATCATGGCACCAACCACTGTCAATGTAACTGAAAAAATTAATGAACTCTCTCGAAATATTAGAAAAAAATATTTAGCTCTTAAATTAGGAAAAGCTGAAAATGATGCTACATTAGATAAAATTTTTAGACCAATCATAAAGCCTCTTGAAAAAATGGCATATGATACGGATTTTGTGAAAAAAGAAGCTGAAGAAAAAGATTTATTACAGCTAGCAAAAAAAAAATAAAAAACAATCTCCTATAAAATATAAAGCTATTGATAAAATACTTGAATCATACCCCAGAAAAGATATTCAAGCCCCAGATAAATCATTAAATATCTCAAGCATACGTTTTGCTGAAAATGACACCACTAATGAAAATAATCCAAATGATTTTTATAAAAGCGAATATGACCCCAATAAAACATCCCACCCCACATTTTCTGGAAATGAAACTATTTATTAACATGATCCAAATGATTTTTATGATAATGGATTAAGCTTAAGTAGAACACTCGACAACGAATAAATCATGGAAACAATTCCGGAAGATTCTATAGCAGAATGTTTGGATTTTTTCAATGAATTACCTAGAAATTGTGTTGAAGGACATATGAGAGATACTAGCAATGAATATGATCATACTTATATTCACCACGATTTGGAGACAGGCAACATCAAATTAGGGGATTCAATTGTGGAGTTTAAAGGTCCTGATAGAGGGTTCAAATATAAAAACATTATTAAACCTATTTTAGAGCAAATGAAACAGCAAGATATAGATAAACAAAAAGAACATAGTCGTAAACTTAGAGTTGGTAGAGCATCACAGCAGACAGAAATAAGTAAAAAACATACTGAAAAAAATGGGTTTGGCAGAGCATCGCCCACCTTGGTAACATACAATGAAAAACCAATAGAGTACATTTATTGATTGATTGATTGATTTGATTGATTTGAAGGGGAGCCTTTGCAGGCAGCACTTAGGCACACATACGGCCCATTGTGCAAACCCCCTTTTGGTGAAGCTCTGCCTTACCTTACGAGCCCGCAGCTTTTAAGAAAAGCGCAGACCCGCTCTGGTCGGGCATGCATTATTTCCTCTGGTTCCAAGTATCTGTCCCCTAGGTGTCTTAGTCTACTATTGACTAGAGCGTCGCATTCGCAGACTATATGCTCGGTAGTTTCGTCTACTTCGCTGCAGTACCTACAGTCCGACTCGTTGCTGAGTCCGGTTTTGTGTAGGTGGTATTTGACTACCCAGTGTCCTGTTAGGACTCCTGTGATGGTTCTTAACTGGTTCCTGTTAAGTTTCAGGAATCTTTTTGCCTCTTTGCAGGTAGTAGGACTCTTTATAAAGGCCCTTGACTGCCTGAGGCCTTGTTGTTCACGCCATTTTTTCTGGAACTGGTCGTTAGTCCAGTTCCTGATCTTGGTTTTTACCAGACAGGAGGCGACCCCTATGACAGGTTCCGGCCCCAAGAAGGCCGTGTTGCTGCCCTCACGAGCCAGCTGGTCTGCTTCCTCGTTGCCTCTGATGCCTCGATGACCCGGTACCCAGATAAGGTTAACCTTGTTGAGCACACTGAGTAGTTCGAGGGTTTTTATGCAGTCCAGTGTAAGTCTCGAGTTGACCCTTTCCGAGTGAAGAGCCCGGAGTGCATATGTAGATATGTTTACCCGAGTAGCCTCTATGGAGATTCTCTTGGGCGCATATCTGGATGGCAAAGATTTCAGTCTGGTATACCGTTGGGTATCGACCTAGTGCAAGGCTTATTCTCGCCCCAGGTCGCTCTCCATATACACCAGCTCCTGCACCTTCTTTCATTAAAGACCCGTCTGTATACCAGATGAGCCCTTCCGGTTTGAGAAAGCCTGGGTCAGGCTCGCTCCAGTCGTTTCTGGAGGGGAAAACCACTTTATATCTCCTGAGGGGGGTAGACGTCTTTGGCATTGCATCCCTTCTTGTGAGAAGGGGGTCCCGGTTGATAGTCTCAGTCCAGGCCCTTGCATGCCTTGAGTTCTCCCCCCCGTGAATCCACTGTCCCCAATCGTTGAGTCTGACTGAGGCCTCCCGAGCCCGTGCCTCCACAAAGAGATGTAGAGGCGCCAGTCCCAGTATGGCCTCCATTGCCAGTGTTGGAGTGGTTCTGAAAGCTCCAATTATGCCCATGCAGGCAAATCGTTGGAGCTTGTCCATCTTCTTCCTGTAGGTGGGCTTGCTTAACGCATTCCACCAAACAAGGCTGCCGTATGTGATTATTGGCCTTATGACTGTTGTGTAAAGCCAGTGCACTATGTGGGGTTTTAAGCCCCAGGTGCGTCCAATGGTCCTTCTGCATGCCCATAGGCTATGAGTGGCCCTCTGGACGACCCTGTTGACATGTTCCTTCCAGGTCAGCCTGGAGTCAATGATGACTCCTAGATACTTGACTGATTTGGATGGGATCAGTCTTGATCCAAAGAGCGTGAGCCCCTCAAGGTTAATGTTTCTTCGGTTGGTGAATGGTACTACTTCTGTCTTATCCGGATTGACGGATAGTCCGTGATCGTTGCACCACCTTTCGACCTTATTAAGAGCTCTTTGCATGATCTCTTTAATAGTGTTTGGTACCCTTCCGGCTACGACGATGACGAGGTCGTCCGCGTAGCCTTGAGTGTATATGCCTTCCTCGTTTAGGATACGAAGTAGCCCATCCAGCACTAGGCACCACAGCAAGGGCGATAGTACTCCTCCTTGCGGGAGCCTCTGGCTACGGTTGAGCTGATCTCCGTAGTTCCAATCGAGCTTGTAATGATCCTGCTTTCCAGCATGACACGGATCCATTTGACAATGGTATTCTCTATGCCAAAGCCTTCTGCAGCTCTATTTATCGACTCGAAGGAGGTGTTGTTGAAAGCTCCTTCAATATCTAGAAACGTGCCCAGAGCCATCTCTTTAGGACGAGTCCCTCTCTCTAGTCTTGTTACAAGGCTGTGAAGAGCGGTCTCCGTCGACATGGCTGTCCTGTAGGCGTGTTGATTGGGATGCATGGGAATTCTTTTTAGTGCCCCATCCCTAATAAATATGTCCACCAGTTTCTCCATAGTTTTTAAAAGAAACGAGGATAGACTGATGGGTCTATAGTCCTTTGCCGTATCGTAGTTACAACGTCCTGGCTTGGGGATAAACACCACTCGAACCTTTCGCCAGGATTGTGGCACGTAGCCTCGTGCCAGGCAGGCTCTGAAGAGGTGTATCAAGTGCGGTGTCAGTGGTTCTAATCCCTTTTGTAAGAGAGCCGGAAAGATGCCATCTAGTCCCGCGCTTTTAAAAGATCCAAATGAGTGGATGGCCCACTTTATGGAGCTTTCTGTCACTACCTTTGCAGCTAACTTCCAGTCAGTCGGTCTTACGCCCGCTGGTGGAGCCCGCCTTGGTGGTTCAACAGTTTCCAGGATTTTTGAGCCTGGAAAGTGAGTTTCCAGGAGCCATTTAAGTGCCTCCTCCGCGGTGGTGCTATAGTCACCGGAGGGAAGCCTTAATGTCCCCAGCTCTCGTCCCGGATCCTTTGAGAGAATCTTTTGAAGCCTGGCGGCTGCTGGAAGCTCGTCTACGTTACCGCAGAACGTCCTCCACGATTCCCTCTTAGACCTTCTTATGAGATCTTTGTACATGCGCAGAGACTGCTTGTGGCTGTCCCAATCCGCAGGCGATTTAGACCGCATGGCCCTGTTAAAGAGCCTGCGGGTTTCCTTGCGAGCCTTATCGAGGTCAAAGTTCCACCAAGGGGTTTTCTTTTTTCCTCGATAGACCCGAAGCTGGCAGCTTCGTTCGTACGATGTGATGATTGCCTCCCGTACGAATTCGGCTGTTTCCTCCACCTGCCGAGAGCTGCGGCACGTCATGGAAGAGTCCACTAGCTTAGTCTTTAGCATCTCAACATACTGGTCCCAGTTAGTGTTCCGGGGGTTCCTGAACCTACTGAGCCCAGCATCGTGAGTTAGGTCTAAGCTAAAGAGAATGTGTCTGTGATCTGACAGGGATGGCTCTTCAGACACCTTCCAATTTCTTGTCATCGGGGCCATGGAGAGGGAGCCCAATGTCAAGTCGATCACCTCTTGTCTTCGTGACGTGACAAAGGTCGGTGTAGTGCCGCGGTTTAGGATTTCCAGACCGGTAGTATGTAGATACTCTAAGAGGCTGAGCCCTCTCCGATTCGTGTCGGTGCTTCCCCACACCGTATGGTGTGCGTTGGCATCGCATCCGATGATCAGCGGGAGGCCCAATGTGCTGCAGTATTCCACTAAATCGATGAGCTCCTGTGTTGGAGGATCGTCTGTCGAGTCATAGGGCAGATAGGCCGAGCATACCACCAAGGATGTGCTCTGTCCTGGTCTGTCCTTAAGGCATAGTTTCACCGCTACTAAGTCCCTAGAACAGAAATGAGCTATTAGTGAGGACTCGATCCGTCTGTCGACGTAGATACAAGCCTTTGGATTTAGTTGGTCGTCCCTCTTGTAGAAGAGAGATCTTTCCCATCTACCTAGGGCCCTTACGCGACCCTTGTATGACCAAGGTTCTTGTAGGAGATATATTTGTGTCTGCCCCATAGCTATATGACGATCTATTAAGGAAATCGCCCCTTTGCTATGTTGCAAATGAGGTCTCTTTATCCATGGTGGAGGAAGATATAGGACCTGATTTCTAGGTTACGGATGGTCCAGCCCTTGTCCCTGGTGGAGTATCTTCTACATCCACCTGAGCCATAAGCTCGGCCACCTCCTTTTCCAACGTCGCTGTCGGATCTGAATCGGGGGTAGACGTTCCTTCCGATAAGGGAGTATTGCTACTGCCCTCCTCGGCTGGAGCCGTCTTTTTCTCCGGCGCAGCTGGAGCCTTTGCCTTCGTCATGAAAGTGACGACGGAGACCCCTGCGAACGCTTTAAGTTTTTGTCGCTGCAAGACCTCGGCTGAAGCCTCGTCAACTCCAAAAACCAGGAGAACCCTGTTCTTCTCCTCTTTTCGGTGATACGTCCTCCACAGATTTGTCCTAAGTCCAGGATTCTGTCTTTTGAGTCGCTTAAGGATGGTGGGGGTGTCGTCTGGGAGACCTTGGACAGCTGCAACCATCTTAATTGCCCTGGGAATGTACCGCTGCACGCGCAGTGATGCCCCTTCCCATGGTATGATCGAGGAGATGATCCCCTCCAGCCAGTCCAACGTCCACTGGTCCCCGCATTTAACCGTGATGGTTCCTTGCGACGACCAGCGAAACTGATCAAACTGTGGGAATCGATCTCCTCCCATCAGATCAATGTGGGCGTTTAGTTTCCCCATGATCGCTTTACTCTGCTCTTCCGTGATCACCGCGTCCGGATAAGCATCCGGCACGATGGTCACCCCGAGACCAGCAGACGTTGCGGCGCTGTACGAAGCAGTCCCCTGGCCTCCCGATTTAACTCCGGAAGCCTTGGGCCTCTTTGCCAGCGTCCTTGCCCCCTTCGACTCAGGGGTGCTTCCCTCAGATCTGCTGTACGAAGCTGCCCCCTGCGCCGAAGCAGGCGTTTGACCTTCGCCAGAGCCCGGGCCCATGGACTGTGCCTTGAGCCTGAGCCTCCTGGCTCTAGCCTTAGCTGGGCCGCTTCTGTTACTCTTGCGAGTCCTGGAAGCGGTATTGCCTGTCCCCTTTGTGGGTCCCTGTGAGGTCCCCTCTTTCGAGGAGCCCGACACGTCAGTCCCCACTTGAGAGCCTGGCATAGCGATCTCTCCTTGCGGAGAGCCTTTAGGTTTTATAGGTGTATCCATATAATTCCCACGAGTAGTCCGGAACTAGGTCCGCCCACACAGCGCCGGATTGTGTGGGTAAGGCTAAATACAATGGGAGGTCGCCTGTTATCCCAAGGGGAACGTTAAAGACCGCATGTTGCGCCCTGCGGCCATCCAGCCCTCAGCACGTTGCCGTACACCTTAGCTTTGGCGAGGCTCCTTACTGCAAGGGGGTGCCCACGCCCCAAGAGGTCCCGTTGTCCCTTCCCTCCCCTAGCACGGGTCGCGTAACACTAGGGGATTTGGGCATTTTTGTTGTCCCCTAGATCCGCAGTCTTTTGCATTGAGCAGCATCACCTCTTGCAGGGTGTGAGTACATTTATTGGGATGACGTAAATGAATTGGTTGAAAGATTAAAGTTATTAGTAGCCTCCAAGCATGCTGGCAACACATCAAATGATAATGAAATTACAGCAATTATTAATGAGCTGAAAGAAGCAGGTGTTATATATTAACGCATAAACATAATTATAATTAAAGCAGTCATTTTACAAATGCCTCTTAACAAGTTTGGTCAATCCTTAAAAGGGCCATACAACACAAATTCGATACTATCAAAATTACAGTATGGTAACAAGGGTCTTAAATATACTCCCGATGGTAATATTGACGCAAAAAACCTAAAAATAAGTAATGTCAAATTACCAACTTTAAATGCAGATGCTGCTAATATGGGCTATGTTGATAAAATATTTTCAGATTTTTTCGATAATACAGTAAATTCGCTTAGTAAATTTGAACAAGATACCTTAAAATCAATTCAAAAATTTGAAAAAAAATCGCTCGTAAATTATGATAAATGCGCTAAAGAACTTGAAAAAAATAAAACAAAAATTATCAAAGATTTGCTAGATTTCAAGAAAATCTATGAAGAAAGTATATTGGATTTAAAAAAATAAATTGAAGAACTTTATAAACAAAAAACAAAAATTATCAACGATTTAGAGCCTTTAAAGAATATTTCAAAAGCACATGTAAAGGCACGTGATGCTATGAGTAACAAAATTGTGTGGATTGAAAAGGTTTTGGATATAAATAAAAAACAATTTCAACATCTAAAGGAAAAAAATATGGAGTTAAAAAAAAATAATGATATATTTAAAGTTATTACAGTACCAACTAATGTTACTAAAAAACAAGTTGAAGATCTAGAGGAAAAATTTGTTGAGTTAGAAAAAAACTTTATAAAATATTTAAAGTTCTTGGAGTATCTTTTAATATTAGTATTCCCACAGCTATACCATAAAACACACAAAGGAAAAAATAGAACTTGTTGATGAACTTCATAGGAACTTTAGATTATTAGTTAAATATTAAATAAAAATTATAAAGATAAAAATTTATTTATAATAAAAAATTAATAATATAATGTGTCTATTATTTCTAATAAATATACACTAAAGTGTGAAAAATGATCAGTTGTTAAGCTATCATCAAATAATCATGTTTTCAATTGTTAATTTTTTATTACTATCTACATTTATAAATAATACTTTATATGTAAATTTCCCCAAAAACACTCAGGATTGTTATGTGACATTCAGTGTTGATAATCCAATGGTAAAGACTCAATGGCCAAATGATTGGAATCCAATGGATGCAGCTCCTAGTACATTCAAGATTCAAGTTAATGCCTCAGCAATCGGCTCTATATTACATTATAAATTAAAATATATTTTATCAGCAGATGGTGGAAAGACTAGAACCCTTTTTGAAATAAATAGTTTAAATAGTGTAATAACTAATTTAACCAATTTATCTACCACTACAGGATCAGGGGTGGCCTTTTCGAATTCAACAACATTTTCCACAAAAATATTTATAGAATTTATATCTCTGTTAGTAGTAGGGATTTTTAAACTAACCATTTATGGGTTTTTATACTTTTTATGTTATGTATTTAATAAATGTAAAAATATGTAATAAATATATTATTTAACTTACCTTTTGAGTTTTATTCTAATTTTAGGATATACATAAAAACAATATAACTTTTTTATTTATTTATTATAATATTATTTTATTTAAAGCAGATAATTTTTTTTTAATAAGTAATGTCAAGCGAAAGCGAAAGCAAAAGCCTTACACAGTTCATACATTTCAATGTCTTCTTTTAATGCTTGCAATTCTTTATAACATTTTATTTTTCTTTGAGCAAATTCTATACAATCCATGATTATGGGGTAGATAACTTTGAAGCCAATTATGTTTGTTGTGCTGCACTTGCGGCTTTTTAAAAAATGATCCAAACACATGAGGGGTTTGTTTTTAAACATAGGTTGTTCCCAAAGGTTTAATGTTTTAACGTTTATAATTTTTATATTTGGTAATAACTGCTCACAGACTGTTTTTATATATACATAATTTTAATTTCCTTTTGTGTAAACTGTATCGTATTCGGGCAATAATTCCATCAAAATATTGTGAATCTCATTGAAATTCACATATCCACTTGAACATCGTGGGCCATGAATTTTTTCTTCAAAGCAAACTTGTGTTTTATTTTTTCGTGATAACAGCTTAAATTCTACCATTGGTTTTAAGAGATAATGATTTGTTTGCAATCCATTGGTAACCGTAACTTCTTTTCGATGAAAAAACCATTTTTCGTTAGAGAATAAATTAAATCCCTGAATATTTATAGACACAACCTTCATTTTAGAAAGAATAATTTAAACTAAACAGCATTATGATAAACTACGAACTATTTCACTGAGTGGAAGATGCTCCATAATGACGTCATGTATAATAACACAATATGCTTTTGTGTTATCGGGAAAGCCTTTTTTCGCCTCAATATCAACTTTGGTGTCAACTGTACTCGATTTTAAGGATTCATTTCTTCTTGAACAATCAATTACAAAAAGGGCGTGGTTCTTAAATTGTTTATAATCAAGTAGAGAGTGTTTTAATATTGTTAAATCATTTTGTTTAATCATTTGAATAAAATTGTGTATAATTGTGATGGGCCTCGATAAAATTATTTTTTTTAAATTAAGGTTCATGCGTTCTATAGGAAAATATTCGCCATTGAGCCTTTGTTGTGCCAGCAGCAGCCGCAGTTTTTTCTGTTATAATTTGACAATCAGAGTCATTTCGAGCTCTTACAAGACGTATAGTTTGTTTACCAAATTGGGCTAGCTGATAATCATTAAATATACCAAATAATTGATGTAATGGTATACGTATATTAAAAGTTGAAATTTTGGCTATTGTTGAGACTATTGGTTGAGGTGGGTAATTCCACCCTGCAATGCCTAAATGGTTTGAATCATCGCTACTGTAATTAAGATAGCCCTTAATTGTGCTCACAATACCTGGGTCGCGTATACCATTTATTTCATAAGAAATTCGGTCAAACAAAAAAGCTCCAAAATTATTTACTAGGGTTGCGTCGCCATCCCCTTTAGTTATTTCCAATTTACCATCTATTAATAAAGCTGCATCGTGCATAAGCAACCAGGAATCTCTTTGATTTATTGAAATTTCTATAACATCATTATTATTAAAAGATTTTACATAGGGGTAATAAGTTCGGTAGTCAACCTTTTGAATTGTTTCACTAAACTGTGGTTTTCGATAGATGTCGAAGATTTGGTCTAATGATGACATTATATCCTAATGTTTGTAGAAAAAGTCGATTTGAATAAGTTAGGTTGTTTGAACTAGGCAAGCGTTTGCTGTCAACTGATTTCAAATTGCTTATGCTGGGATTTTTATAATAATTGTTAAATATTAAACCCATTATGATAATTTTTTTAATTCCAAACGAACTATAACTTCCTCTTCACGAAAATTAACTGGCTTAAAATCTTGGTTTAAAATTACCAACGTAATATTAGATATTTCCTGTTTATTTATTATTTGAAAATATATAAGGTTTCGGGGAATTTCGTTGATTGTATAGCCTGGATCAACGTCTACTGAAAATTCGTAAATTGTGTGTGTTGGTAGATAATTATAATAAGGACCTGTAGATATATTACAATCGATGTGAATGGTGCGAACTTTTATTATATTAACTGGGAGATCTGATTCGTGTTTTTTACCCGGCGTTAAAGTACGCTTAAAAAATCCTAATATTTTCCCTATACCATCTGCTTGTGTAAAATCTATTTTCAACGTATTGCTTTGAATTTCACACTTTAAAGTATTATTATTTGGTTTAAGTGAAAAATATTTATCCTAATTTTCCTTTTTAACGGTGTCAGGAATAATTTGTTGTCTTAGGTAAGTTTCTATATCTAATATTTCATAAGTACCAGTTGGTATTATTATTTTCTTAACCACATTCGCGTCTTTATAATAAAATGTATTTTCACCTTCTTCAATATTAGGGATACTGTTATAGGAATAAAATCCTATTAATGCTATACCGTAGTCAAAATCTGAATTAAGTTGTATTGGATTTGTAAAATCGATACTTAAAACATAATTATTACTTTTTAATGTAAATAGCTGGGACATTATCTTTAAACGACGGTTAATAATAGACCAATCATATTTTCTTATCTCATTTATTTTTATAAAGAAACCACAAACATAAATGGCCACAATTAATTTGTTTAAAGTTTTGAAAACAATCATTATTGTGATTAATTTTAACATTTTTTCCTAAATAGTTTACTAATTCTTTTGGTGGTTTAAGACCACCAAAACTATCAAAATAAATAACAGAATTGTTTCTTTTAGTATAAGCTACCAAATGTGTACCCAAATTTTTGGAAATGTCTAAATTTAGGATTGCAGATTCATTTTTATTTTTGGTAAAGCGTCTCGCATAAAAACCCCTCTAAAATAGGGTATTTTAAGCGTTTGTGCATATTTTACCAATTCAGAATCATATAGGGCTCTATTGGGTAGCTTTATTGGTAGTTTTTTTGTTTAAAAAAAAAAAATATCCTCCCTTGACATTCCTTTTTAAATATAATCCTGAGCCTTTTTTCCCAATTTCCTCCATAGCCCTATTATGTCGACCTAATTCTTCAAGTTTCTTTTTAGCATTTTTTGTGTCTATCACCGTTTTGGCTACAGCGCTTGCGCCTCCAGCCAATGATCCTATGGCCTCCAAATCTCCTAATAATGGTAAAAGGGGTAAAAATCCTGCTTGTTTGTCGGATTCAAATGGAATTATCCTAGGCACCTTAATATTTTTACGACCCCCAGCTTTCTTTATATTCACCCGAGCTGCTTTAAGTGCCGTTGCGGCAGATTATTTAAGTGAATTTTTATTGGATATATCTAAATCTTGAACATGTTTTTTAATTTTATCAACCAAACCACGTTTAAATGAGATTGGTTTTCGAGTTTTTCGAATACCCATTCCAAGTTTTCTAGTTGTTACTAACCAAGCTGCTGCTTTCTCCCCCAATTTAGAGTCCTTTGCCAAGCTTTATTTTCCAAAATCCAATCTGCCTTATGCCTTTCCGCCAAACTTTTATTTTCTGAATAAGCA